AGAGAGAGAGAGAGAGAGAGAGAGAGAGAGAGAGAGAGAATGCTCAGCAGGTGTTTCTGGATCCTCTGTAGGTCCCCAAGAGCACAAACATTTTGATTGGCCAGGAAAGCCTCCAGCCCAGAGAAAAGAGGTTGGGAGGTCAAATTTGGGCTTCGATCACAGCTGTGACTTTGATATTTTCTCCCTTTTGTCAAAACACTCCTTGCTTTGGAAACATGCATTCGGATATGCATTGTATATTGGTCTGATATGTGTTCACCAACTTTAGATTCAATAATAGAGCTTTTAGTGTGGATAAGATCAAAGCAATCTGCTTAGCATGTGGTGCTGCAGGCTTGATTCAATATTTGACTTGCTAATTTTTTCCCAGGGCACTAAAATAATATTGTTCATATTGTTCCTAGCCATCATATGCATCTGAAATGAAAATAGTCTTTCTTTGCATAGTGTATGTTGGAGGCATCTGCATAGGCATTAAAGTGGTTTGAGGGAGATAGGTGAAGATCAATCAGCACAGGTTGCTTTGTGGACTTTGTCCTCCAGATGCTATTGCCTTCCAGTTGTACCTCCTTTCCCATCTTAGGTCGCTGTTTGCTACTCTCTAAACTGAAGAGGTGGAGAACTAATACCTGTGTACTGATGCCTTGTTTAGCCTCTCCAGAGCTTGCTGTTGACAGGCTCTGAGGAGAAAGGTTGTTGGGCCTCCGGGAGTGGAAGAGACAGCAAAGGATTGCAGGCAGGTACCATTCATGCATTCCTTCAGTTCATCCTGTTTCGGAAGGGAAAACAAAATCCTGGGATTGGCCCCAGGGCTTCCCATTGTGAAGGACCATAGGTTGTGAGCTTCCTGGATGCTCTATAAGCTGTTTCGGGTCCTTGTCTGAGCTTGAGATGAAAGGGTGAGCCCCCGAGGTGATCAGAGGAGTTGGAATGAAGACATGTTGGATGAAAGAGAGATGCTGTCTAGGAGCCAGAGATGCTGTAGCCATTCCCTAGGTCTTTCTCACGCCTCAGCGCTACTCTTTATGCAGGCAGTGCTGACTCAATGGCTTTGTGATGTCTCTGGTCTAAAATTCCTATTTTCCTTTCATCTGGGACTGTGCTTGTTCTGTAGGCAATAAGCAAAATCAGAAGCAGACAGAGATGGGGAAGGCAGAAGGACAGAAGAGTTCAGACCACAGACTTTGAAGTGTCCATGGAAGTTTTTAGCCTACACCTACCCAGAGGAGAAATCAGAGGTTCTGGGGAGTAGGGGCAGAGTTAGGTCATTGAACCCCAGCAAACAGAGCCAAGACTACCACTTCCCTAGGTTGTTGAAGGCTAGGTATGTTGGCACGAGCAAAGGGCATCACACAGTGTTTGCCTCGTGTTGGAGGCGTCATGATCTTGAAAGCCCTTCCTTCAGCCTGCTCTGAAGAAAGAGAATTTAAAGGGAGTTGGCAGAGGAGGCTGTAGCCTGAGTTGCTTTTGGATTCACCAAGACAGGAAATGCATTTAAACTGTGCTATGGACAGAATTTGAATGAGCCACCCAGAAAGACAAAACTGGAAGACCTCTAAGCCCAGGCAGATGCTAAAAGGGAGGGTTTGCTCTTCTGTGCTATGAAACTGGAGAGCACAACCCTCCAACCCTTCCCATGGCCCCTTAGTGGAGCTGTGCATCCACTTTCTCACATTCGAAGATCTGATGGCTCTCCGCCTTGAGTGACAGAGGGAGGACTTGAATCCAGGACCTTTGCCTCAGTGGCTTCCATTTGGCATTCATCAGATTTAATTTAATAATTGTAGTGATTAAAGGAGTCAGTAAGGAACCAACCAACAGCCTGACTCAAAGGCATACATAGTTCCCAAAGCCGTTTCTTCTCTAATTTGGTTAGTGAATCTCATGAGCTTTTAAAAAAGCTCTTCAGTGCCTGGTGGTGGTGGCGCACGCCTTTAATCCCAGCACTCAGGAGGCAGAGGCAGGCAGATCTCTGTGTTAGAGACCAGCCTGGACTACAGAGTGAGTTCCAGAATGTCAAGGGCTACACAGAGAAATCCTATCTTGAAAGCTACACACACATACACACACACACACACACACACACACACACACACGTATATGCATGCATCCATACATTCAGCATCTTGGAGCTAGAACAGGCCAAAAGGCCCAAGAAAGACCATCATGTAACAGCTTCCTGTGTATCCATTTATTGAAAAGTTGAGGAAATTGTCTCTAGGGTGAGGTGGGGTAGAAGTCTGCGCAGGAAGTCTCTACATGGCACTTCCTGTTACAGGTTGTAGCAGCTAACATTTTAGAATGTAGACATTTTGGTTGCTAGATACTTGCTTGGTACATCTTGCCTGATGTGATTGTCACATACCTTCTAGTATTAAAAAAGATATCAAACCATTTCCCCCATTTTAGAGACAGGCAAGGCAGAGATGAAGCAAGTAGCTTGCCCAAGACCACACAGTCAGCAAGTAGCAGTCCCAGAATTTCAGGACCAGAAGGCTGGTACTCCTGAACTCATGGGTGAATCCATGAGGCTGGCCTTCCTCTATAGACTAAAAAGGACTATAATGGTGGTCTTACTGACATATAAGGCTACCTATGGCCACTGAACATCCCTTCCCCCTCAACCCATGTAGTTTCTTGATCTCCTAATTGAAGGCCAGATTCCCAACTAGGAAAGAGGACTGAGTTTAGGCTTAGAGGTCCTGGTCAGCCATGTGTCCAGGCCTCTCTTCCCTTGGAGCATGGTAGAGAGCTGGCTGCCACTCAAGCTAAAGTTCCAACCCACAAGATCTGAGACTCAGCCCCAACCAGAACAAACGCAGATGTGTCTGTCAGTAAACACACAAATGCAGGCACGGAGCAGACACAGAGCAGCCACAGAGCAGCCACGTGATCCTCCTTTCTGGCCACTCTGCAAACTCCAGCACTGGTGCAGCTAATAACTGCCTCCCATGGTGGCTTGCCCCTGATTGAAGCAGCCCCATAGCAGCAGGGACACTTGCTTGATTAGTCAGTCACCAGAGCTCAGCCTGCAAGCAGCCTCCTGATGTGCCAAGCAGCCACTGGGAAGGAGGTGAGAATTGACACATAGCCAGTCAGCTTCTGGGTTCATCAGAGGCCTGGCGCAGCCCTCATCT